TGGAATTCCCAGAGAAGCTGTGGCTGCCCCTGGATCCCTGGGAGTGTTCAAGGCCAGGCTGGAGCAGCCTGGGATAGTGGAAGGTGACCCAGAACATGGAATGGGATGATCTTTAAAATCCCTTCCCATCCATATCATTCCACGATAAAGGATCCATTCAGAGGGGTTTTTATGGAATCTGAGGATGGAAAAGGCAGGAAAGGGGAAGGGAGACCCTGCCCTGAGCCCCGAGATTCCCAGGGAACCCCCTTGTTCCCTGAACTCCTTCCCAGGGAGGAGTTGGGCTGGGGATGGATCCAATGGCAGGGGATGGATCCAGGCTGGGAGAGCTGGGAATGGCCAGGCTGGAGAAGGGAAGGATCCTGGGAGAGCTTGGAGAACATTCCAGAGCCTGAAGGGGCTCCAGGAGAGCAGGAGAGGGATTTGGGATCAGGGCCTGGAATGACAGGACCCAGGGAATGGATCCCAGTGGGAAAGGGGAGATTTGGGTGGGAGATTGGGAAGGGATTCCTGGCTGGGAGGGTGGGGAGGGGCTGGGCTGGAATTCCCAGAGAAGCTGTGGCTGCCCCTGGATCCCTGGGAGTGTCCAAGGCCGGGCTGGAACCCCCTGGGACACTGGGAGGTGTCGGGGTTGGAATGGGATGGGATTTAAGATCCCTTCCCTCCCAACCCCTTCCACGACTTTTCCGACCCAACCAACCATCGGCTCATCCCGAATCCCTCCCGGCTGACGCTTTTCCCTGCCTCCCTCCCAGCGTGTTCAGCCCGGCGGGAGCGGCTCCGGCGGCGCCGGCACAGCCGGGAATGTACAACAACATGAGCATCACCGTGTCCATGGCCGGCGGCGGCTCCGGCGTCCCCACCATCAATCCCATGGGAGGGCAGGTGCCCGGGATGAACCCCCTGCAGATGCCCGGGATGAATTCCATGTGCTCGGAGCAGGTCAGTGCCAGCACGGCCCGGGGGCTGCGATCCCGAATTTGGGAATGGGAGCAGGGTCCAAAGGGGGAAAGCACCAAGGTCTGGTTGCTCCGGGTGTCCCAGGATGTCCTTGTCCCTTATCCCAGCCCTTGGGATGGGGTTTGGGATGGGTCAGTTTGTATCCATGGATCCATAGGGAGCCAGGAATTCAGGGATGGGGAGCAGGAAGGGTTGGATCTGGGATGGCAGCAGATCCCAGGGGGCTGTAATCCCTAATCTGGGAATGGGGTCCATGTCCAAAGGGATCCGTGTCCAAAGGGGCAATCCCTGATCTGGGAATGGGAGATCCCAGAGGTCTGTGTTCCCTATCTGGGAATGGGAGCAGATCCCAGGAGTCCGTAATCCCTAATCTGGGAATGGGAGCAGATCCCAGGGGTCTGTAATCCCTAATCTGGGAATGGGAGCAGATCCCAGGGGTCTGTAATCCCTAATCTGGGAATGGGAGCAGATCCCAGAGGTCTGTGTTCCCTATCTGGGAATGGGAGCAGATCCCAGAGGTCTGTGTTCCCTAATCTGGGAATGGGAGCAGATCCCAGGGGTCTGTGTTCCCTAATCTGGGAATGTGATCCGTGTCCAAAGGGGGAAGCACCAGGACCATCCAGTGATCCCCCGGCCATTCCCTCCCCATACTCCCCCCCAAACCCAGCTCCAGAGGGTGGCCAGCGCCCCCTCCAGCATTCCCAAGCTCCGACTGATCCCGGAATTCCCGTTGGCAGGTCCCGGATCCGGCGCTGAGACCAGCAGGGCTCTACTGCAACCAGCTCAACTCCAGCGAGCTGCTCAAGGCAGAGGCAGACGGGGCCCAGGTCAGTAATGATTCCCAAAATAATGGTGGAGATTCCCAAAAAAAATGGCTGGAGATGGTGGAGATTCCCAGAAAAATGGCTGGAGGGCTCCCAGGATGGTGGAGATTCCAAAAGGATGGTGGAGATTCCAAAAGGATGGTGGAGATTCCAAAAAAAAATGCCTGGAGATGGTGGAGATTCCAAAAAAAAATGGCTGGAGGGTTCCCAGGATGGTGGAGATTCCCAAAAAAATGGCTGGAGGGCCCCCAGGATGGTGGAGATTCCCCAAAAAAAGGCTGGAGGGCCACAGGATGGTGGAAATTCCCAAAAAAGGCTGGAGGGCCCCCAGGATGGTGGAGATTCTCAAAACCAGTCCCACCAGCATTGGGTGACACCACTTGGGGTTGAGGCCACCACAGACCCACCAGGGCTTGAAGCCACCACGGTCCCACCAGTGTTGGGTGATGATGAACCCTTGGAGTGGGTGACAGCCAACCCTTGGGGTTGAAGCCACCACAGGTCCCACAAGCGTTGGGTGACACCCCTTGGGATTGAAGCCACCGTGGTCCCACCAGTGTTGGGTGACATCTCTTGGGGTTGAAGCCACCACAGTCACACCAGAATTGGGTGACACCCCTTGGGGTTGAAGCCACCACAGTCCCACCACCATTGGGTGATGACCAACCCTTGGGGTTGAAGCCACCACAGCCCCACCACTGTTAGATGAAACCCCTTGGGGTTGAGGCCACCACAGACCCACCAGCATTGGGTGACACCCCTTGGGGTTGAAGCCACCACAGTCCCACCATCACTGGATGATGACCAACCCTTGGAGTTAAAGCCACCGTGGTCCAACCACCATTGGGTGACACAGCTTGGGGTTGAGGCCACCACTGTCCTACCAGGGGTTGAAGCCACCATTGTCCCACCAGTGTTGGGTGATGATGAGCCCTTGGGGCGGGTGACAACCAACCCTTGGGGTTGAAGCCCCCACAGGTCCCATGAGCATTGGGTGACAACCAACCCTTGGGGTTGAAGCCACCGTGGTCCAACCAGCATTGGGTGACACCACTTGGGGTTGAAGCCACCACGGTCCCACCATCATTGTGTGATGACCAACCCTTGGGGTTGAAGTCACCACAGTCCCACCATCATTGGGTGATGACCAACCCTTGGGGTTGAAGTCACCACAGTCCCACCACTGTTAGATGACACCCCTTGGGGTTGAGGCCACCACAGACCCACCAGCATTGGGTGACACCCCTTGGGGTTGAAGTCACCACAGTCCCACCATCATTGGATGATGACCAACCCTTGGAGTTAAAGCCACCGTGGTCCAAGCACCATTGGGTGACACCACTTGGGGTTGAGGCCACCACGGTCCTACCAGGGGTTGAAGCCTCCATTGTCCCACCAGTGTTGGGTGATGATGAGCCCTTGGGGTGAGTGACAACCAACCCTTGGGGTTAAAGCCACCGTGGTCCAACCAGCATTGGGTGACAGCCCTTGGGGTTGAGGCCACCACAGTCCCACCAGGGGTTGAAGCCACCATGGTCCCACCAGTG